GACATCTACTACTCTCCATTTAAAATTTTAAAAAGCTGATATTTAAATTTAGTCTTCCTACTACTTTTCCCACAGTTGCTAAACCTAGAAGTAAGTGAAAAACTTCTAATTACTAATTGAATCAAGCAGTGAATTTCTAATGTTCATCTTAATCTAAAAGTCTGGCTGTATACAATATACCATGAGTCTTCAATATATATTTTCCACTTACATTAAAAATAAAGACATGTAATAATGGAATTCCTAATTAGACATATGTCATAGTTTAACATTTCACTGGGGAAAGGTCAAAAAATTCCACAATCAAATAATTTTTCTTTTTCTTTTTCTACTTTACTAGACTAAAAAAACGTTAACATGGAACTATTGGAAGACCGTTTTTAGGGTCTCCTCACCCTCAGATGTGATATTAGGGAGTGTAAATTTTATCCTGTAGAGAATGGAGATGTATTAGAGGGTTTAAACAGTGAGTAATGTACCAGTGCACTTTAGAAATAACTCTCATTCATTCATCATGGTTCAGCAAATACTTCTTGAGCAATTACTAGGCTGTAGATGCTGGGAATAAAGGAGTAAACAAAACTGTCCAAATTCCTTAGCCACGTGGAGCTTACATTCTAGTGCTGGGAGACAAACAATAATTAAAATAAATACATCTATATGTGGCATATTAAGTAATGAGGCTATGAGAAAAACAAAGCAGGGCAAGAGGATAAGGAGTGTTGGAATTCTAAACCTGGGGGTCAGGAAAGGCTTCATTGAGTGATATTTGAGCAAAGAATTCAAGGAGGCAAGGGACTGAGCCATGCAGATATCTGAAGGAAGACAAAGGTAACAATGCAAAAGCCCTGAGGCAGAAGCGCACCTGTCATCTTGGAGGAGCAGAGAGACCAGAACAGCTAAGGCAGAGTTAAGAGAGGGAAGGAGGAGCAGATGCAGTCAGAGAGCTAATAGGGAGCTACTGCAGGGTTTTGAGCAGAGGAGTGACATGATCTAACACATTCTTAGAGGATCTCTCTGGCTGTTGCAGTTGAGAACAGAATATAGGGGGAAACAAAGGTGGAAGCAAAGAGAGCAGACAGGAAGCTACTCCAATAATCCAGGTGAGAGCTGATGCCAGCTTGGACAAGGTGGGTGCAGCACACGTGGTGAGAAGTCACGAGATTCTGGATATATCGCAAAGGTAGAGCCAAGGTGATCTGCTGATGGATGTAATGTGGGCTGTGAGAAAGAGAAGCTGAGGATGACTCCAAAAGTTTTTGGCTTAAGCAACTAAAAGAACAGAGTTATCTTTAATTGAGAAGAGAAAGATGGCCATGGAGCAGGTTTGGGAGAGAAGATCAGTAGTTCAGTTTATAAATAAGCTAAATCTGGGATATCTACTAGATATCCAAATGGTGATGTTAGATATGCAAATGGAGAACAGAGCCAAGTTCAGGGGAGAGGTCCAGACTAGAGACTTACTAGAGATTTGGGGCATCTGCGTAAAGACAGTATTTAAATTCATGAGACTGGACGACATTATCAATAGAGTGAGTGACAACAGAATGACCAGCAGAATGGGCATTACCTGGGAGCTGGTTAGAAATGAAAAATCACAAGCCCTACTCCAGACCTACTGAATCAAAATCTGCAAATTAACAAGATCCCCAGGTGATCTGTATGCATCTTCAAGTTTGCAAAGCACTGCTTTGGAGCACTCCATCAGTCTAGATGAGAGATAATGAAGGGTAGTAACAGGAGGGATGGTGTCAAGGGTTTACAAGCAGATCAGCTGACTGAATGGAGAAGGGAAGGAGGAGGAGGAAGGAGGAGATCTCTGACATAAGTGACTGGGTGGATGGTGTGCCACTAGTCAACAGAGTATTATGGGAAGCACAGGTTGGGAGGTGTGGAGAGAAGGCATAAAGAGACAGACTACTATCTTATAGGTGTTGAATTTGAGGTACATATAGGACATCCTAGTCGAGAGATCTAGCAGGCAGACAGAAATAGAGAGACTAGAATCTGGCAGTAAAACCCAGAGATACTGAACACTATCTTCAACAGGCTGTCATGGTTAAGAGAAGATTGTTTCTTTGATTTGATTTTTTTTTTTTGAAGAATAGAATTAGAGGCCAGCCCCATGGCTTAGCGGTTAAGTGCGTGCGCTCCGCTGCTGGTGGCCCGGGTTCAGATCCCGGGCGTGCACTGATGCACTGCTTCTCCAGCCATGCTGAGGCCGTGTCCCACATACAGCAACTAGAAGGACGTGCAGCTATGACATACAACTATCTACTGGGGCTTTGGGGGAAAAATAAATAAATAAAATTATAAAAAAAAAAAAAGAATAGAATTAGAATGTTGGTAGGTTGAGGGGAAAGCACCACTGAGAAGCCACAGAACCTGCAAGAAAGTGAATAATTGATGGAGGAAGATGCCATAGAGAAAGGATTTTAGGTAGGAATTAAGAGGATAGCTTAGGGGCTGGCCCTGCGACCTAGTGGTTAAGTTCAGCGCGCTCTGCTTTGGCGGCCTGGGTTCAGTTCCCAGGCGCAGACCTACATTACTAGTCGGTGGCCATGCTGTGGCAGTGACCCACACACAAAATAGAGGAAGACTGGCACAGATGTTAGCTCAGGGCAAATTAGCCTCAGCAAAAAAAAAAAAGAGAGAATAGCTTAAAAATAACAGGGAGATATGAAAACATACGTCCACTCAAAGAATTGTGTGGTTTGGCTTTATACGTAATAGCCAAAAACTGGAAACAACTCAAATGTTAATCAAGAGATGAATGAATGAATGAATAAGCAAAGTTGGTATAGCCATATAATGGAATACTACTGAGCAATAAAAAGAAGCAAACTACTAATACAAATAACATGGATGAATCTCACAGACACTATTTTGAGTGAAAGGAGCCAGATACAAAAAAGTACACACAGTATGATTCCAGTTATATGAAATTCTAGAACAGATAATTTAATCTATAATGACAGAAGGCAGATCAGTGATTGCCTGGGGTTGGGAAACTGACAGCAGGGGGACAGAAAACTTCAGGGTTCCTGCTTATGAAAGCCTCATTTTATCTCCTCTGCTCCTCACTGAAGGGTAATACATTCACTCACTCTCTTTGGATGGGCTTGTTCCTTATAAATGTATACCCAATTATGTTTATTTAACTTAAATGATGATGAGGAGGATAATAGTAACATTGAATTCTTCCTGTGTGCCAAGCAATATGCTAAGCACTCATGTAATCCTTACAATACTCCAATAAAGTAGGTACTATTATTAGCCCCCTTTTTTTTTAACAGATGAGGAAACTGAAGCTGAAAGAGGTTGATTAACTTGCTCAAGATCTCACAGGTCATGTAACAACCTTTACTCTAAAAGTTCATGCTCTTAACCATTACACAAGACTTACAATGGTACAAGCCATCTACTAGCAGACATTTAAAAGAGGTCCACGTGTTCAGAGAGCCTTTGGCTCGTGGTAGTTCTTGTTAGCCACTCAAGTTTCATCTGCCCCAGCATTTTCTCTACCCAGTTGGTGCAACCTGCACTCTCTGGACTCCCATTCCAAGTCCAAGTTAAAATGTCCTAAACTCCTCCGGCTGCCAAGTGGTATTTATCTGATTTTCCAGTGATTACTCCTAGTTTGGAGGCTACTTTCCCCAGTGCTCTCTCCTGTGATACGTCCTAACATCTTCTCTTCCTTCCGGCACCCCACCACGCCCAAAGCTGGGATTCTATTTTTGTTTGAGAACTGGAACTCAAACCAATTTCTCTTCCTCATGCACTGGGAATACTTTTTCATTACCCATTAACTCTAAACAAGAACCCAAAAGTATATAAGAACATCCTCAGCATAGGACTGCTGAAACAGATTAAGTCACTGAGAAAGAGGAGCAGGCAAATAGGATGCATGCACCGTGAGGCCTTTCCTCCAGCTTCTAACACCAAAGCCAACACAAACGCCTGTATTGTCATCATCAACATTTGGGGAAGTACACAATGAGCCAAGTTTACTCAGCAAATTCTTCAAATGGTGAAACATGGAAGTATATGTTCCAGTTTTGTTTTGTTTGGCACTGACCCTATTGTCACTCAGAGTTCCCTATCACTCAGAACGTTGACACTTTCACACATACCAAAAATTAGATACTTGCACTAACATAGCAGTCACTTACTTTTACAAAGCAAATTCTGTGAATCGGAGGCGTTTTGCAAGGTAGGCTATGGGAACCATTCCGACTTGCCTGTCAAGAGTCTTCTCTAAGCTGGGCCAGAACAGTGGTTTCCCATCCAAACTGTAACTCTGAAAAACAATGCATGGCAAAGTAAGGAATTCTATGATCAGAAAGAACTGACAGAAATAATTAATTCCAATCGAGTTCTACTGTAATCTTAGCTGGAAGTCTGTTCTGGGCGCCTGGAATAGAAATAACTTTAAAGACAACACCTCTGAAACAATTTTGCTTTAAACCCTGATGTTGTCTTGCGGACTACTGACTCTTCAAGGAGATGGGCTGGGAACGCCAGAAAATAGTTTCCACCTAATTTCCGAGTAACTTTCCAGCGCTGCCCAACAGCTAGTAGCCTCCTTCAAAAGGGCGTGTGAAACTGCTTCCAGAAGGTGGATCTAGTCTTCTGCAGATTTGGAAAGAAGGATTTCGGAGAAAAGAGAAGTTCAGAATGGAGGACTTCTGCCTCCGTCCCCTACCCCACCTCTGCCAAGCTCAAGAAGCCTCTAGAATGGTTTTTTTTTTTTAGGGTAAATTCACCTGTTCCGAAGGCCAGACGCAAATTTACCGAGGTTTTTGGTTCTACAGAGAGATCGAAAGAATGAAGGGGCAAACTCTTCCCCCCAAACTTGAATATGACCTTGCCTCGGGGACCGTTGCATTTGACCCCCCAAAAGGCACCATCGTGGACTCCCCTATGCCTGGGACAGAATGGAGTCCTGGGCTGACTCCCCTAGACACCGGTTTCTCACGCGCTCCGCCTGAGGGGCTTACCACGTCCTCAAGGCCGAGCGGCCCGAGTTCTCCGGGAGACGACCCGCAACCCGGACGCCAGCGAGGCGAACACCCACGGCCGCACCCTCATTGGTTCCAGGAGGCCGGAAGTGTGTGCGTCCGGCGGAAGTACTCCTCCTGCACGCGTCCGCCAGGCCGGGACCCTCAGGTAGGCGGGGCCGCTGCATCGGAACTCCGGGACCTGCTGGCGGGCGGAGGCGCATACGGGACCCCGAGGGCTTGAGGAGGTTGTCCCGCTTCTGGTCTGGGAGGGCCGGAAGAGTTTCGGGGGTGCCGGGTTCACGGCGATCTCTGGTGGCAGCGCGGGCCTGGTCGAGGCCGGCCGCCGCGGGACCCATTGCAGGACCTTCAGGTTCCCCCGTGGAGTTGGGATTTGGGGCCGCGACCAGAGCTGCTCGCTGACCGCGTCCAAATGATTGAGGTCCAAACGCTGCTCACTTCCAGCCGGGAAAACGCGTGCTCTCCGCCCTTACGTTTTCTGTGCTGCTGGGTTTGACAGTTTTCCTCAAGGCGTGTCCGGGTGCGGCGTTATCCTCAGTAACACCCTCGGCCTCACTAGGAGAAACCTCAGAAAGGCTGCCAGAGGCGCCGTCGAGAGAGGAAACGGGTTTCTCCTCCTGCTCCCCCGCCCCCAAGATGTCTTGCTAGAAAGAGAGGGGTGTGTTTAGGCTGCTCAAGTGGAAGTTATCTGGACTGCTTTAGGCCAAGATTCTATATAGTACATAAAACTATTTGTTAATGGTTTCCCTTTTCCCAGCCGATTCCACCCCCAGGTGGTTTGCACTTTGAGCCTTTTGTAGTCCTGATGAACAATTTCGCTTTCTTCAAGTTTATGATACTTGGAACTTCAAGGATTGGAGGTTTATGCATTTTGAGACTGGTCAGCACTGTGCAGAGTTCAGAGTACTGAGAGACAGGTGAGCATGAATCAGTACCTTCCACTCCAGATTACAGCTTTTGAGAGCCATTTGTGCAGTTTCGGTAAAAGGTGCACCACCCTTATGGAATACTAGGTGGTGCCAGCGAGTTCATCGTTCTGGGATAAATCTCAACTCATGTAGCATCAGGTGAAGGCTTTTAACGTGCCTCCACCGTCCCTGAAATTTATTTAGAATAGCTTTACCTCCTTAAAATATGTTGTGCTTGTATACACTCATCCAGTTATCGAATATCCATTCAATATTAAGTGCTGAGGAGGCTAAGAGAGGAATCATACTCATTTTCTGCTCTCAGAGAGTTTACAGCCTGGAGAGAAAGACAGACAAATAAACGTGCTATAATGAAACATATAATACAAGGCAGAAATAAGTACTAAATAGAGAATAAGATGCAGTGGAAGAAGCAATCAATTCTTATTATTCATTTACTGATTATTCGTCCAGTACTGTCTGTCTGCCCAGCATTATGCTAGATGCTGGCATGTAAAGAAAAGTAAAATCACTACTCTCAAATAACTCACAACTAGTGATTGGGAGGGAACCAAGGAAGGCATTCTGGAGAAGGTGAAACTTGAGCTAGATCTTGAAGAAAGGATGACCTGGGCTTGGTGGGTAGGAAAAAATGCAGGCTCAAAAGAGAAGGATGAAAGTGCATGACATGTTTTGAAACAGCAAGTAGTTGAGCCTGGTTAATTAAGCCTGGAAAGATACTTTCAGTTTTATCTTGGGTTTGCCTTGACTTTTACTGGGAAATTCAACAGATTTAAAAGTAAAATTTAATTGTGTATTTCCAGGAGAAATTATGCATGAAGCATAGCTATAATGAATTACATTTCTGTCTAACTTATTGTACATGAAACTATTATACATGAAATATAGCTATAATAAATTACATTTCTGGTCATAATGTAGCTCGTTTATAATTTACATATCGTTAATGATCATAGATGATTTAAGCCAATTTTAAAAGGTAAACGGTAGTAATCTTTTAAAAAAACTGATTTCACGTATCTTGAATATAATGTAAGGAATCCTCTTCATTGAAGTTCACATGTCAAATCATCTGTTAATGATTATGTGTGGGGAAATTTTAAATGCTTAAATAAGTTACCCTAGGATTTAGATTTTGATGAATGTTTATACCTAGTATTAAGCAAAATGTGTTTCATGAAAGGAATTTAAGTTTAATTTTTATAAATGGAAAACCTAAATACTATAAATGTTAAGGTAAATGCATACAGTATTAATAGACCAAAATCAGTAGCTTTTCTGTACACCAGATGTAATCAGAAATTGTTCCCTATTCCCAATATTAACAAAAAATACAAAATATCTGAGAATAGCCAATGTTCAAGGCCTTTGGGAATAAAACAATACTTTTCTTTTCAAACTAAGGATCATAAAAGAAAGTCTAGGTAAATGGAGAGATGTATTGCCTGATGGGAAGATTCGAATTTCAAGGATACAGATTTTCTCTGTATTAGTCTCTAGTTTTAATGTAATCCCTGTTGAAAATTTCAATTGAATTTTTAAGGGAACTTGACAAACTGATTCTTAAATTCATCTAGAAGAGAAAATGCACAAGAATAGCTAAGAATTATTGGGGAAAAAAAAAACCCATGATAATAAAGGCAACTCCTTATCAGTTATCAGTGTACACCAGTTCTAAAGCCATAATAATTAAAATAGTGAGATAATGTCTTAGGACTAGATCATTATCAATGAAACAGACTTGAGTCTGTTTGTATTGAATCTTCATTAAAGGTGGTATAAATACTGACTAATACACAGTGTTGGGATTGTTGGCTATCCATTTAAAAGAAAGTAAAAGACTTCATAGCATTAACAAAACAAGTTGGTGGCTTAAAGAGCTAAATGTAAAAAAAATATAATCTGGGGCCCGCCCGGTGGCGTAGTGGTTAAGTTCACACTTTCCGCTTCAGCCCGAGGTTTGCCGGTTCAGATCCTGGGCATGGAGCTACTAACTGCTCATCAGGCCATGCTGAGGCGGCGTCCCACATAGAAGAGCTACAACTCTACAACTACGATATACAACTATGTACTGGGGCTTTGGGGAGGAAAAAAAAGGAAAAAAATATATATATATATAATCTATAAAAGTCTTAGAATACAAAATAGTATATTTTTCAAAATCTCGAGATGGTTAGGGCCTGCCTTCATGGGTTACAAAACTAAGTAGACTTAAAGGAGAAGACAGATTTGGCCATTAAAAATAATTTATCGTGGCCAAAAACACCATAAATAAAATTTAAAGTCTGGAGGCAAAAGATAATATTTGCAACACAACTACAAAAGCGTCATATCCATAAAACAGAGAAAGATAATCCAGTAGAAAAATGGGCACATTTCGCAAGAAGAAATTCATATCAAAAGTTGTTCATGCCCACAACTCATTAGGTAAGTGCACGAGACCAACAAGATAATAGGAGGAGTGTTCTGAGTCTTCGAGCATACTTATTAAGAATGAAAAGGGGACCGGCCCGTGGCGTAGTGGTTAAGTGCGCGCGCTCCGCTGCTGGCGTGATTTGGATCCCTGGCACGCACCGCTTGGCTTGTCGGACCGTGCTGTGGCAGTGTCCCGTATAAAGTGGAGGAAGATGGGCTCGGATGTTAGCCCAGGGCCAGTCTTCCTCAGCAAAAAAAGAGGAGGACAGGCATGGATGTTAGCTCAGGGCTGATCTTTCTCACAAAAAAAAAAAAGAGAGAATGAAAAGGAATGTTATAATGAATCTTTTTGTAAAGCAAAGTCACACCTGATCTATTTCTTTATTTTTATTTTATTTTTTTGTGAGGAAGATCAGCCCTGTGCTAACATCTGCCAATCCTCCTCTTTCTTTTTTTTTGCTGAGGAAGACTGGCCCTGGGCTAACATCCGTGCCCATCTTCCTCCACTTTATATGAGATGCCGCCACAGCATGGCTTGCCAAGCAGTGCGTGGTTGCACACCCGGGATCCGAACCAGCGAACCCCAGGCCACCACAGCAGAGCAAACGCACTTAACCACTTGCGCCACCGGGCCGGCCCCTGATCTATTTCTTTATAAATCTATTTCTGTATTTTCATCTATAAAATTGTTTAAAGTAAGATAGACCAATAGTGAAGACTTCTAATTAATTTGTCAAGTCAGTTAAGAAGACTGCCAGGCATTTTTTGTGAGGTGTTACTACTATATGAGTTTAAACTTTTATATCTAAATTGAGATTTTCTTCAAACAACTATCTTTCCCACACCTGTAGCTCAGAAAGAGTATAGCCTATTTTAAGTTGCACTGGTGTGTTGAATCATTTCAAATAACCAAATATATATTGTATGTGGGTTTACTGTTCTCCTTAGAGATTAAAATGGCTTCCAGAGGAAAGACAGAGACAAGCAAATTGAAGCAGAATTTAGAAGAGCAGTTAGATAGACTGATGCAGCAATTACAAGATCTGGAGGAATGCAGGTAATAGTATAATTGTATGCTGCCATGCTGTAAAATGGCTTTTTTTCTACAGCTAGATTACAAGCTCTGTGGGTGCGGGCCCGTGTGTGATTTTGGTTTCCCCTGTAGCATTCTTCACAGTGCTTTGTCTGTTCGAGAAATAAACTCAGTGCAGGCTTTGGAGTCATATAGGCTGAGATGTGAAAGTCTTTTGTGTAATTAAACTGAGTGTGAACTTGGGCAAAATACTTAACCTGCTTAAGTTTCCATTTCCTCCAGTGTGAAGTGGAAATACTAACACCTACCTTGTCTTAAGTATTTAAAATAGCCCTGCCGGGCCGGCCCCGTGGCTTAGCAGTTAAGTGCACGCACTGCGATGCTGGCAGCCCGGGTTCAGATCCCGGGCGCGCACTGACGCACCGCTTCTCTGGCCATGCTGAGGCCGAGTCCCAAATACAGCAACTAGAAGGATGTGCAACTATGACATACAACTATCTACCGGGGCTTTGGGGGAAAAAATAAATAAATAAAATTAAAAGATAAAAAAATAAAATAGCCGTGCCTTGGTATCAAGCTGAGAAGGTACTACTTGAACTTTTTCAGCCTTAACTGCTCAAAGGACCAAGGCTGTCCTTTTTTAACAACCTTGAAAGGTTGTTGTAGATATTATAAATGAAGGGGCCAATA